CATGATATAAAACCAAGCTTCTCCGGAGCAGTTCCTCAGAGTTATCTGAGAGAGACTGCCTTCCAGGCTAGAGTCCTCAATTTGGCTCAAATAAAACTCTTTTCTATTCCTATTATATTTAGATTGTTTAATGATTATTTTCATCGACATAACTAACCCAGTTTCCTTTTTGCTATGGCTGTGGGAAGATCAGAGAAAAATTCACAGCTATGCACAGATGTGAATTTCATACCTACTTCCCAATCTTCTTTGATGTTAATCTTTTACTTGCTTTATATTTTCTGTGATCTTACCTTTACTTTTCAATTTAATGGGATGTATTTTTATCAGGTTCCAAATATCCAGTGGAAAATAAAGTAGGTAGTGAATGAACAAATGAGCTATAACTCATCTGGGCCTCAGTTATTTCTTACTCTTCTTGGGTAAAGGCAAAGGCAGAGATCTCTAAGTCAGAGCTGGGGAAGGTTAGGGGATAGGAGGTTGGACCGGAGGAAGAGAAAATATAAATAGAGATATAAGAGCCTCATATCTCCCAGAAGCCTGAAAACGCCCACCCATAAGCCAGTAAGAGGTCACAAGTTGAAGCCAGGGAGGCCCGTGTGCTTATTATAGTCCCAACCTATGTATTGGTGACTGACATGATTGTGTAGAGCTAGGATTGGCAAACTTTTTCTGTAACGGGCCAGATAGTAAATTCTTTAGAATTTTCAGGCCATATGGTCTCTTTGGCAACTACTCAACTCTGCCATTGTAGTGATGACAAATTGAAATTATAATGGAGTAATCACAGTTCAGACATACAAAAAATGGAGTCGGGCAGCTGTTGGGGATCTGGTCTCAGACACATCCCTGCACCACTGAGAACTTGAATCTTCTCTGAACTGTATCAAACTCAAGGACACCAGGGGCCCTTTTCAAAACAATATCTGCTAGCAGCTGCTAGTTGCAACCTTGTAGTTTCAAAGTCCCCCCTTGGCATCTATGTAATCATTTTGAACCCCAGCCAATGCTTGCTTAACAAGCACACTCACTTCTTACCAGCTGCAATCCTAATTCTTGACAATTTATGTAACCTTGTGGTGTTTTTTTGCCTTTATAAAACTCCCCCATTTCATAGTCCTGCAGAACACAATTCAAGTGCTTCTTGGGTCTGTGTCTCCTGGACTAGTCCTAACAAACCCAAAATAAACGCCTCTTCATTTCAACCACGCCTCCGTTCTTGGAATTCTTGGTTAACACAGCATGAAAGCAGCCACAGACAATAAGTTGTCGACAGAAATAAACAATCTATGATAGGAATAGAAATAGAAAAGAGTAAAACTGAGCCAAACTGAGGACTACAGCCCAGAAGACAGCCTCTTAGATAACTCTGAGGAACTGCTCCGGAGAAGCTTGGTTTTCAGTCGAGTTTTATATCTTGTCAGAACAAAGAATATCAAACAGGTCAGGGATACATTCCTTCAAAGCTAAAAAAAAAAAAACAGATCAGCACGTGCAGAGCAAGTCAGTATGGCCTTAGCACCGGGGAAAGGAGTCCTATCATTGAAGGAGTACCATCATTGGCATCCCAGGAAGGGAGGCATTTAATCTTTATCATTAACATGGATATTCTTTTCTTCTGGTCAATGAGCCCCTTTTTTTTTTTACACATACGCACACAAATCTAATTAGTTCAAGCAAAAAAAGGGCCCATGAAACTAAAAAGCCCCAGGGATGGGCAGTTTTAGGCAAAGCATCGTAAGGGGCTCAAATGATGGCATCTGAGCTCTGCCTCTGCTCTGCTTCTCCTTGTTGACTTCAATCTCAGATTTCACAGCTAAGGGAAAATGACTCCCTACAACTTCAAGCCTTCATCTTCCCAGATGCAAGTCCAATGGGAAAAGATCAAGTCTCTTCCCCAAAGCTCTTGTTCAAGTCATGGAATTTACTCTGATAGATGTCTCTTGAGCGACATGCCATAACCTGAACTAAGCACTGTAGTCAAGTGAACGGAACAGGACACACACCCAACTTGTCCAGGCTGTCTCTCCCCTAAAGTCTGGCCACCAAGGCAGCAGCAAACTCAAGTCCCCAGTCCTGAGTCAAGTCAACCTGCCCATGACCACTTCCTAGTCTCTCCTGGTTTTGGCTCCTACAGAACTCTTTCTCCTCCCACCTTTCCTTTTCTTCCCTGGGCTGTCCATGCAGAGACCTACCCCACTGAGCCTCTCCAGGTCAGCTGGTTCTCATTATAACCTGCTTCTCTGTGCCCCTCCCCACCCCCAAGTTTAGACCTGAATTCGGGGACTGAGAGACCGTCCCCAAACCCTCAGGTCTTTTAGCACCAGGCAGCCAGAATTCCCAAGAAATGCTAGGAAAGACAGAGCTTCTCTGTACTCATGTGCCCTGAGTGTGCCCCTGGCCCAGGAGACCAACTGTGGCTCCAGGTGTGGTGTGTGAAGGACTGGGCAGTCAGGGCAGACTAGAGCAGTTCAGGAAGCAAAAGCTCTCATCCAGCTCCCTCCTAGATGGCTCAGACGGTGAGGGGCCTTAAACGCCATGCCAAGGGGCTGAGACTTTAGCCAACAGTGCCAGGAGATGGCGATTAGTCAAAAGGCTTATTGGATGGATAGATGAACAAACAAGTGACCTGAGCCCAGAGAAGAAAAGTGACTTACATTACACAGCAAACAAGTAGGAGCAGGGAGATAAGACTCCAGGCCTTTTTGTGCCATCAGCCCTTTTTTTTAATAATTAAAGCAGATGTACAGTGTAAGTTTGATAAGCCACAAACAGGCTGTTTTGTTTTAGTAAGCATAAAATTCAGGTTAACTCATGTATAAGCCAGAATGACTTTCCCATACCTCAATGTGTGAAAATTTCTTTCATCAAAGTAAATGAATGAGTGTGGCTATGTTTAAAACTTTACTACTGGACACTAAAATTTGAATTTCATATAATTTTCACATGTCACAAAGTATTCTTCTTTTAACTTTTTTTCAAGCCTTTAAAAATTGTAAATAGTATTCTTAGCTTGCAGGCAGTAGGAAAACAAGGGTCAGCAAACTGGGGGCCACAGTGTGCTGACCTCGATGTAAAACTTGGATGAGGAAGTTTGTTACTGGGAGTAGGTGTACAATTGTCACTTAACACTTGCTTTACAATACAGTGACCTCCTTTAGATCAATAAATTACGGTCCTAGAAATTTGTCACAAGAAAATAAACATGGTTGCACACAAAATTTTGAAAGCAAAGACTGTTATCTTATCCTGGATTATAACAATGAAAAAAACTGGACACATCCAAACATCGAGGAACAGAAGACTGGATCAAAAATCTGAGGCCATCCAAAAGACAGAATGCTATGCAACCATGTCAACAATTATTGCGTGGTCTGAAACGAGAGAAAGCAAATGCTATCAAATATTAACATTTGGTGAATCTAAGTGAAGGCTATATTGGTGTTCAGCGCCCATTTTTCTGTAGGTTTGAAATGTAAAAAATAAAGTTGGAAACATTTTTTAAAAGAAAAAAAATGTTTTGGGGGGAATGTAAGTTAATAGACTTGCACAAACCCATCTTCAGCTCATCAGAACTCTGTGCTCTCCATGTTAAGTAAAGATAATAAATGTAACACCTTTTTTCACAAGAAAATGGTATAGATTAACTCGATAATATTTGTCTAACTACCTAGTGTCTGTTTTGATCAAACTAAATGTAATTGTAACCATATGTAACATGAGAAGATTTACCAAAAAATTTTTTAACTCACAATATTTCCTTTGCAATCATCTTGTTCTAAGGACAAAGAAAAGCTTGACTTGCTCAGGTTTTGAGTATTTGAAACAAAGCTTGCTTAAAACAAAGCTTGCCCTTTGAGTATTTGAAACAAAGCTTGCTTAAAACAAAGCTTGCTTATCTGGGGAGCCTTCCCTGATAGGGGTGGGTGCTCTAGGCCCTGCAGGTGGGAATATCATTTGGGGGATCCAGCATCCAGGTTCTCCTCCAGGCTCAGGCTTGGACTTACTGGGTTAGATGCTATTATTTGAAAATTTAAAATGGGAAATAAATCCATTCGGTAATTTGAGCGCTTAAAAATAAAGTAATAAAAAGCTTACACATTTAAATAAAAACATAGGAACTATTTCAGCTACAAGATAACCTGTCTTGGGCAGAGGACTTCAGCGACCCTCCATTTGACGCCCCTATTAAAGGACGTGATTAGACATAGTGCATTGTCAGTCTCTGCTTGAACCTCAGTTAGATTGCGGGCCACAGAGCTGGAGTCATCAAAGGTGCATTTTAGAAAAACTGTCTCCTTTTAAAAACGTTTTTTTAATGCTCACAGTCATTTCCATTATCGGGAGTCAAACCCAAACTTGTGAAAAATCAAAATCCTGGGCGATACAAGGATGTACTTTCCTTTTTACAGACCAGATCCATGATCGATTCTAGCCCGTCTGCTTCTGAAGCTCGGACTTACTTATTTATTTGTTTGTTTATTTATTTATTTTCAACATCTTTATTGGAGTATAATTGCTTTACAATGGTGTGTTAGTTTCTGCTGTATAACAAAGTGAATCAGCTATAGGTATACATATATCCCCATATCTCCTCCCTCTTGCGTCTCCCTCCCACCCCAATCCCACCCCTCTAGGTGGTCACAAAGCACCGAGCTGATCTCCCTGTGAAGCTCCTACTTTTAAACACTAAACGCTTTACTCTCTCTACTTCCACCTGTGCGTCCCGCCCCCTCTGGAACCCGCCAAATCCCATTAAACCTCACCCCACCAACCACGCACTGTCGTCATAGGCTCCGCGCTCAGTCCCGGTTCCCACCCTCTGCAGCCTTCCTTAATCTCATCGGATTTTGTAAAGCCCCGCCCTTCTCTTCTCTCAGGCGTTTTCTTCCGTTCAGGACCAACCCACACCACCTGGTTATTTGGTTGGCCAGCACCCTCGTTGTACGTCATTTACCCGCGCCACCCGGAAGCTAAGGTTCTTACCAACCCTTCTTTTTGCCGGCGGCTCTCAGGTAACGGCCGCTTTTGGGTGTGCCCTGTGTGACCGGGTCCCAGAGTTGGGAGGGGCAGAAGGCTGAACCCCCAGTTTGAGCCGGATGACCCCACTTCTAAGGTTGAGAGGGTGCAGATGTACTGTGCTTGAGAGCAAACTGAGTGGTTATCGTGGTCTTCCCCCTCATTCCTCAGGAGCCCATCATGGCGACGCCCCCTAAACGGCGGGCGGTGGAGGCCACCGCCGAGAAAGTGCTGCGATACGAGGCTTTCATCTCTGACGTGCTGCAGCGGGACCTGAGGTGAGTGACAGAATAGGGGGCGGGGCGCTTGGAGCGGTGCACGTGGTGAGCGGGGCGTTCGAAGTCAGGGCGTAGCCTTCTGATTGGTGGGTGAGGCGTTCGGAACCCGGCCCCACGCGCCATTCGAGGGGGTAGGAGGGGCGATATCCGGGGTGCGACGGTGGTGGGGGGGAGGGAAGACATGGCGGTCTTATGGAGGGTGTGTCTGCGCATGCGCGGGTTCAGATGGCGTTAAGGGTTACGAGCGAGTTTTCAGGTTCGAATCCTGACTTGGCCGTTTCGCTTTACGTGTGAACACGTTGTACCTCACCTCGAGCTTCTGTGCCTCAGTTTTCTCATCTATGAAATGGGGAAGTTAATGCAACCTTCCTCATGTGGTTTTGAGTTTTCAACGTGTTCAGTCCTTGTAAAGGATTTAACTTGGATACTAGAGGCTCAATGAGTATGAAAAATTATTATTTCTATCATTATTAATCTGAGGAGGAAGTAGAGTTTTCAGGTCTAGGATTATGAGCATCCTAAAAGGGATGGAGGATTTTTTTCTAGGGTGAGAATGGGGTATCCTGATTGGAGGGAGGCATTGGGAGTAGAGTGAAATAATACTAATAAATAATAGCTAACACATATATAGAGCTTCTTGTTTGGCAGGCACTATTCTAAATGCTTTTTAGTAAACTCATTTAATCCTTCTAATGACTCTGTGAGGTAACACTCGTTATTCCTATTTTAAAGATGGGGAAATTGAGTTCCAAAAAAGTTACTCACTTGCCAAAGTCTCACAGCTAGTAAAATGGAAAGCCTGGATTCAAACCGAAGTAGTCTGACCCAGAGTTCAAATCTTGAGTTCTGCACTAAAACACCTCTTTAGGGCATGGTGACATGAGAGTCTCAGAGGGTCATGATATGAGGTATTCCAAGAGAGACAGGGCTTCCTCTTGGTCACCATTTTACTCTTGTCCCATTAGAAAGGTGCTGGACCATCGCGACAAGGTATATGAGCAGCTGGCCAAATACCTTCAACTGAGAAATGTCATTGAGCGACTCCAGGTAAAGATGCCAGGGTTAGGTACCATCTTTTTGTGGCAAAGGAGGGGGAAGAGAGGAGATACCCCAGACCAAAACCTGTCACCTAACCTAAAAATTGACCACTGATCCCTACCTCTTTTTCTCCGGCCCCACAGGAAGCTAATCACTCGGAGTTATATATGCAGGTGGATTTGGGCTGTAACTTCTTCGTTGACACAGTGGTGTGAGTGTCTACCCACCCCTCTGAGCCCACAGGGTTCAGCTTCTCCTTCCCTTCATTCAACAAAATTTTTTTTGAGTATTTGCTATGTACCAGACACTGCTAGGTGCTGGAGATGTGACAGTAAATAAGATAGGACAAAATCCCTGCCCACCCAGAGCTTCAATTTGGGAAAGGCGGGGGAGAGGGGAGTGAAAAAACATCTCAAACTGTGTGGTGTGCTAAACAGTGATAAGGACTTCCCCGCTTCCTCTAACCACTGTTTCCTTAGCCCAGACACTTCACGGATCTATGTGGCCCTTGGATATGGTTTTTTCCTGGAGTTGACACTGGCAGAAGCTCTCAGGTTCATTGATCGTAAGAGCAGTCTCCTCACAGAGTAAGTCCATTGCATGAGGATAGTGCCTAAAAACACTACCATTTGCCACACCCTTCTTCCCCCTTTCCCCATGGCTGCCTGGGATGATACTTAGGAACCCATCTCCCCTCCCCCTCAGGGCTAGGGCTGAGGAAAGTGGGGATGCAAAGCTTAGCCTCAGGTGTAGAACATAATAAGCACTGATAAATGGTCTTTGTATTGTTCACTCACACAAAAATTTATTGGGCATCTGCTGTGTGCCAGGCTCTGTGCTTGGTGGTGGGGAGGCAGCAGGGAACAAGACAGAAGGGTTCCTTGAAGGCTTACCTTCTAGAAGGACTATAACTGTTACACATCAGCACAGTTTTGACCAGATCCTGGAGGTCTCAGCCTATAAATCAGAAACAATAAAACAAATTACCTCTGACTTCACCTCCTGCTAATTTTCCTGCTCATTCACTGTGCTCTCACCACACTAACCTTCACAGGCTTCTTTAAACACCCTCAGAATGATCCCACCTCAGCGTGATTGCAGGGGCTCTTCTCTGTGCCTACAGCACTCTTTGCCCAGGTACCTGCATTGCTTCCTTTCTCCTTATTCAATTTAAGTCTTGCTTAAATGTCACTTCCTCAACGAGGCTTTCTATAACCTAACTTTAAAATTGCAACCCCTGGCACTCCTGATTCCCCTCCCTTGTTCTACTTTTCCTTTTTCTCCCTAGCACTTATGACCTCCTAATGTTCACTGTGTAATTTACTTCTTTACAATGTTCATTGCCTCCTCGCATTAGGATATAAGCTTTGCAAAGGGAGAGATTTTCTCTATATCCCAAGTCACTAGAATAGCACATAGCATATAGTAGGCACTCTGTTGAATGAATTTAAAAGCATATGCTGGAAATAGATTTAAGTGGGGATTGAAGCAGATCTCTGTTGGAGGTAATGTGGGGATAAAGGATGGGGTCCAGTTGAGTTTAAGTTTCTGTGCGGGGAACGGGAATTGGGAGTGTGGACGGGAGGTCTGAAATGTGGCTAGGGAAGGCCTCCCAGAGGAAGTGACATTTGAGTCACTTGGTTGAGTGAACAAGCCATAGGGCTGTCTGGGGAAGAGCATTCCTGGCAAGGCAACCAGTGTGCCTGCCATGTTAGGAGGAACTGCCGAGAATGGTGAGCATTCACTCACTCAGAAGGAGTGAGTGAGGGGACGCTGAGCAAATACACTTAGATTAACAACATCTCACAAGTGTGAACCCCACCGATCTAAGATTCCTTCTAGGTTATATTTCTCTTTATTCCTACATTCATTTCTTCCAGAGTTGCCTCCCTTATGTTTCAGTAATTCTTCTCTTTTCAAACCTTTTCAGGATTTCAGTGTCCATAGACCCAAATGAGCCTCAGACCCACTGGGATTTCTAAGTCTTACTGATCAGGCCAGTTGGTGAATAGTTTGGTCGAGGGACCTAGTTTCATAGGCCAATGCAATTCTGAACTTGGTGGCCATTTAGACCAAGTCCAATTTTTTATGACAAAGCCTTCCTTGTTATGTCAAAGGATTCCTGAGCCTTTCAAATAGGTTTTAATTTTATGAAACTTGATGTCTTTCCCCAAAATGAGGTATTTGTCATTGCCTGCCCCCTGTATGGTCTTTCTTATTTACTGACCTGGTCTATTAGTGTGATGAGAAATGTGAATCTCTTACTACTTTATGATAATTAGTAGGACTCCATAGTAATTGAATCTTTCTGGGAGATGAAGATTTGAGTCTGTGTAGCTCAGCTCTCTTCTTTAAAATACTTGGTTATTCTGGACACATTTTAAAGTAACTTTCTTTCAGGTTATTTTATGTAACCAAAATGGCCTATCAGTCCTTTCTGTTCTTAGTCTGTTTCTTTGAGGAGTGGGAGGATCAGGTCTCTGTGTACATTGTTTCTGATTACAGAGAAAGGAGTACACATCCATACCCATAAGCAGACATGATTATAGAAGAAACAGAATAACCATATGACTATTAACACTGCCTTATATACTAATCAGTAGCAATAAATTAAACATATCCCTTTTGTGTTACAACTAGCATTTGGTGAACTTTATACTTTTCTCCTCCTTTTTTATTTTAAGCATTGAAACCTTTCACAGACTAAGCTTGTACATTGAGTGCCTACTATGTGCCACATACTGTTTTTGTTCCTGAGGATACAGCAGGAAACAAGGCAGACCAAATCTCTGCCCTTACGCAGCTTACATTCTAGTCAGGGAAGACAGACAGTAAACAAATAAGTAAAGGATGTAGTATGTCACAGGTTGACAATGTTGCAGAAAACAACAAGGATTGGAGGTGAGAAACATTGCCTCCGAGGCAATGTTGCAATTTTAAATAGAATGCTTGATTGGATGTGGGGTGTGAGGAAAAGAGAGGAGTCCAGGTTTTTGGCTGAGCAACTAGGAGGATGGAATTGCCATTTTATGAGATGGAGAAGATAAGGGAGGAGCAGATTTGGAGGGGAAGATCAGGAGTTCAGTCTAGGACCTGTTAAGTGTGAGGTGCTCGTTAAACACTAAAGTAGATTTTCTGAAGATGTAGTTAAAACTCCCAAGGCTGGAATTCGGGAGAGAGGGCTGCATTGAAAATATAAATTTGGGAGATAGTGATATATAAATGGGGTCATACTATTTTTTCCCAATTTGACATCCTATGTTGTTGCCTTCTACTTTTCTTAACAGTATTTTGTTTCCTTAAAACACTCCTACACTGACAGATAGCTCAGCCAATAAAATCCACATTCCTATCATGATATCAAGACCCTGCATGATCTAGCCCCTTCCTACCTCTTGGATCTTATCCTGTGCCACTTTCCTTCCACCATTCACTTAATTTCTAACACTGGTCTCCTGACAGCTCCTCAAAAAGCTCTTTCCTGCCTCTTGGACTTTTTGTGGAAAAGACCGTCTTACTGTTTAACTCCTACTCATTCTTCAGAAAGGCCTTCCTTGATCCTTTGTATCAATTAGGATTCTTTTGGGTGAGACTGGTCCCAGTTGGCATAGATATAAGGAATTGACTAGTTCACATAACTCAACAGTCCAGAGCCAGAGTGGTTTCAGGCAACTCCAGCTTCCCAGTTGCTTAGGTCTTGGTGTCTTTCTTAAGTCCTCTCTCTCGTACCCAGCATCCTCCTTTGGTAAATCCTGTTGACTCTACCTTCAAAATATATCCCAAATCCAATCATTTCTCATCACCTCAACTGCTGCCGCTGTGGTGTGAGTCTGCATCTCTCACCTGGACTATTTCAATAGCCTCCTCACTGGGCTTCCTCTTCCACACTAGCTGTCCTTATCCCTAGTCAGTTCTCCGCACAGCAGCCAGATGGATCCTCTTAAACCCTAGTTGTTTCACATCCCTTCTCTGATCACAATCATCCCCTGGCTACCATCTCACTTAGAGTAAAAGCCAGAGTCCTTACCATGGCCTGGCAGCTTTTACATGATCTGTCTCCCCCACTTCCCTCTGTGACCTCACCTCCTACACCCCCCCCCTTCGCTTATTCTTCTCCACCCATGCTGGCCTATTTGCTGTGCCTCAGACATGCCAGGTACACTCCCACCTCAGAGCCTCTGCATTTGCTGCCCCTTGTGTCTGGAACACTCATCCTCCGTGTATTCACATGATTCGCCTCTTCATTTTAAGTCTTTACTCAAATGCTTCTCAGTGAAGCCATCCCTAAGCACTCTAATTAGAATTACAGCCCCCATGCCTGCACTCCTTATCCTCTCTTATCATTTAATTTTTTCATTGTACTTATAACCATCTGACATACTCCGTGTTTTATTCCATCACTGTCCTTCTTAATGAGAATTTGAGCTCCACGATGCTGAGATTTTTGTTTGTTGTGTTTGCTGCTATCTCCCCAGTACCTAAAACGACCTGGCAGAGAGTAGACGTTCAATAAATGTCTCTGAATCTGTGCCATCCAGATGGCAGCCAGGCATCTCTGCATAGGAGCAGGTCAGGTAATCGGATGTCCTACCACCTGCCGTGTGGAAGTCATCCAGGATGTAGGTAGTTCCTGAAATGATGAGGAAGCATCATCCTCATGATCATAAGTGGGGGCCACTTTGCCCTTTCTTGTTTCTTTTCTCCAGGCTCAGCGACAGCCTCACCAAGGACTCCATGAATATCAAGGCCCATATCCACATGTTGCTAGAGGTGAGAGCAACTCACCCCATTCCCAGACACTATCTCCAAATGTATAGGGCGGTGACCTGAGGAAGAGAAAGAGCCAGAGATGGGAAGTACCATCTTTCCCCCTAAACTGGAGTCAAATTGGAGCCAAGCTGGCTCAGAGGGAAGGGAGTTCTGAGCAATCCTGGGGTGGGGCCTGGACCCAGGCTCCATTCAATCTTTTCTGTTCTCTTTTTCAGGGGCTTAGAGAACTACAAGGCCTGCAGAATTTCCCGGAGCCTCACCATTGACTTCTTCCTACCTCCCCTAACATTAAAGAGCCTGAATGTCTTTGAGTCATATGGCCCTTCTTTCCCCCCTTAACCCTTGCTGTTTGCGAAAGTGCCCTGTTTCTAAAGCACAAAGTTACTAGGAGGCCCAGAGATCCAGTCTGTGTGGAACCTTTAAAAACCACTGAAGTCCCGTCTTCAGCCTGTCCCCTGGCAGAATGTGCCACTTGACTTTCTGATTTGCCCTCTATACCATCGCCTTGACAATCTGGGCCACCACCTGACCCTTCCATTTCTTTTCCTGTACAATACTCTGAATTACCTTAGAGAATGGGCCGATTCAGGGTGGAGGTTTGCTCCCCAAGGCAGCCTTTCACTCCTGGCCCTAGGGTTTACCCTTCTCCCACACCCCAATCGTTTCTCAGGTACCTTAAATTACACCCACGCCCGTCTAGGCCCGACCTTGGCCTTGCCCCAGCTTCTAATTATCAATAGTTCCAGCTTCCAGCAATGGGCCTAGGGCTGATCCCGTCCTCCCTGGTCCAGCCCCTATTCTAGGTTGAGGCCAGCTTCCGCCAATCGATGCAGAGCCTGATTCCACTGCTTTATTACTGGCTGCAGCTCGACCCGCCCTCGTAGGCATTTAGTTTCCGCCACTCAACACTCCTTCGCTTGTCTGGCAGCTGCTCGGTTCTAAATTCGTCTTTTCTAGCCAATCACTACAGAGTTACCCTGCCCGCCTACGCAGAACCCTGGCCAGACCTCCTCCCTGCGGGCTGCTACGCCTGTGTACTTCTATACAAGTCCCGCTTCCGCTGAGCTGCGTAGAGTTTGGCACCTCCCCGTTAGGGGTTCTGGCAGCTAAGAGTCCCTCGGCCGCCAATCAGCAGAAAGCAGGGCCTAACCATCCCTATCCTCGGATGCTGGCTGTCTTCCATCAATCCCATATAGGCCAATCAGTGCGAGGCAGGCGTCCCCCGAACCTTGTCTGTCGCCCATGGCCTATCAATCTGTCTTGAGCCAATCAGTGTGGAGCACCAGCGGGGCCGAGCACGCCCCCTCGGAACCCAGGCGGCTATCTGCGTTCCATCGGGCCAATCACAACATAGCTCTATGGAGCAAGGCCCGCCTCCCCAGCCCTGGAAGCCGCGCCGTTGATCCACGGTACTTTGGCCAATCAGCGAGCAGTGGAACGCTCGGCTCCTCCTTCATGGGCCCACGTGAACAGTGGGGAAACGCAGGGGCGGCTTCTAGGTGCTGCCGCCGCCAACGCCGCCACCACCGCCGCCTCGGAACCCGGGCCTGGGGGGCGGTGGGGCCGCGCATGGAGCCCCCGCCCCCCGGAGCTGCCAACACTGCCGCTGCGCTACACACAGGTGAGCCCGGGGCCTGGAGGGTGGAAGGCCCTGTCTGTGACCCTACGTATCCTTCCCGCCCCCGCGCGGGGGGATGTGGCTTGGTCCGTGGCCTGCTGGTGTTCGACTCCCCACCACCACCACCTCGGCTGGTGGTGGACCTACCTGTGCCATTGTCCCCTCCCTTTGGCCCTTTGCCCCGTGGCTTAACCCCCCTTCCTGTTTTATAATGGGTCGGTCTGCGTGCTTGAATTTCTCCCCACCCCACCTTACAGTAGACTCGGCCGTGGTCTTGCCCCAGATCCCCGCTTATAGGGAACCAGTCTCTGGCAATGTCCACCTCCTTGACAGTAGGTGGGTCTGAGTGTTTGTATTCTCCTGTCCTCAACTTTCAGGGGCCCCGTCTGTGGCCTTATTTTTTCATCCCTACTGTTCCTGTAGTGAGTCAATCCGTAGCATTGTACCCGCCCCCCGCAACAGTGAGTTAATCTGTATTCCTGCCTCCAGTCCCCCAATGCATCAATCCATGGCTTTATCAAACACACACACACACACACACCATTTTACAGTGGATCAGTCTAAATGCTTGTTTTCACGTCCTCCTGCTTATCAGCCCATTGCCCTGTCCTCCCTTTTTTGTAGACTGTCAGTCCAGTCCTTGGGCTTCTTCTCCCTTCCTTTTACTAGTGGGTCAGTTTAGTGCTTTATATCTTCCCATTTTCAGTAGCCCAGTCCATGGCCTTGTCCCCCTCTCCTTTTAATCAGTCTGTGGGGTGGCTTTTCTCCCTCTCCACTATTGTGCAGGAGTCAATGTGCTTTTCTGCTCTCCTTGCCCCTAGTAAATAAGGTGAGCCTTTACACACACACACACACACCTTTGCAGTGCATCTGTTCATTGGCCTTCCTGCCACCCATGTGCTTGCATTCACATCCCTCCAGTATACCCTCCTGTGAGTCCAGTGCTTTGTAATCCCTCCAGGAGGGTCAGACTGTGTGCTTTTATTTCTCCCCTCCTTTCCTTGTGCTGGATCAGTCTGTGGCCTTCCCTGCCACCCTCCCTCCTTCTTAACAGTGGATCAGCCTGTGTGCTTGTTGAACCCAGGACTTTTTTACTCTAGAACACACCCTCTCATACACACTCTTAACCACTAAGACATCTTGCCTCCCTCCAGTAAATGAATACATTAGTGATAGTGATAATGCCAATAGGAGCTAACACTTATTGAGCACCTACTGTGTACCAGGCAAAATGCTGTATGTTAATGAGCTCATTTAATCCATCCTATGAGCTAGGTATTGAGGGAAGTTTGGCATAGGGAGGTTAAATACCTTACACAGAGGTGATCAGTAGGTACCAGGTTAGGTTACCCCTCAGAACATAGGATAACTTTTTTTTTTTTTTTTTTTTTTTTTTT